TTTACCACCAAATTGCAACAACCCTGCCTCACTTTTTGCTGTTCCATTATCACCATATAACATCATGCATATTTTATTTCTGTTGTTTATTTTCTATCTGTTCCTGCTAAAGTGTAAGTCTCATGATGTTGGGCTTTTGTCTAGTGTTAGCTCTGCGTAAGTTTTTGAATTCTGGGTAACAAATTACCCCTGACCCCCATCCCCTGCAAAGAAAAAGATTTAGTGTCTCAAAGCAAGAATATAATTTCATTATTTCAGTGAGTTTGGATTTGGAAGATGGCTGGCTGGATAGTTCTGGCTCAGGCACTTTCAGGTTGACTGTGGCTGTAGTCATGACTGGTAAGCTGGTACTAGTAATTCAAGACTGATGGCAGAAAGGACCTGAGAAATGCTAGAGAGGTGGAATGGGTAGCAAAAAGGGAGGTGTACTCTCAGGGAAGGATTTTCAGCTTAAAGATAGGAAATTCCAGAGCATGTTGGCCTGCTGATGGCACTAACCAAGAAGAGGGAGTAGAGCTGCTAATGCAATGCCTTCAGTGCACCTTGGACTTCTTCCTTCAGTATCATTAGGTCTTGATCATATGCTACTTCTTGAAATGGTTAAACATAGACTGTTTCTTTTTGGTAGAGTGATTCTGTGTATTCCTCCCATCTTCTTTTGATGCTTTCTGCATCATTCACTATTTTGCCCAAAGAATCTCTCAGTATTAAATGTCGAGGCTGGAATTTTTCCCTCAGTTCTTTCAACTTGAGAACTGCTGACTGTGTTCTTCCCTTTTGGTTTTCTAACTTTAGATCTCTGCACATTTCATTATAACATTTGACTTTGTCTTCTTGAGTTGCCCTTGGAAATTTTCTGTTCAACTCTTTTACATTCTCCATTTGCTTTAGCATCTCTATGCTGGAGAGCAACTTTCATAGTCCCTTCTGACATCCATTTTGGTCTTGTCTTTCTTTCTGTTAGATGTTTTTTGTGTCATCCCAAAATTTTTCTGATTTTTTGGTCATTAATGTCTAATGCATCAAATCCATTCTTGGGATGATCTTTAAATTCAGCTGAAGGTCATATTTTGGCTCTTGTGGACTTGTTTTAATATGCATGCATATTTATATGGCTTACTGTATATATATGCATTCATACCTACATTTGTAACCATACATATTTTTGGTGGTTTTACTAAAGTTGCAAAATTGTATGTTATAGTGTTTACCAAATTTGTCCATTTACTCTCATGTGCTTGGTCATGTTAAGTTCACCCAAATTTGGATTCCCTTCCCCATCATCAAAAGTAACAAGTGCCTACTGTCTAGAAAGTCTTCTGTTTGCCTTCTGTACCTTGTTACCATCAAAGAACTTTGCTTTCGGTGTGCTGTTTTTTACATTTTATATTAGTGAGACCATATTAATAATTGTCTTTTTGTGATTGACTTATGTCACTCAGTATAAAGTCTTCCAGATTAATTCATATTGTAAGATGTTTTAGAAATTCCTTATTAGTTTTTATCCATTCATCCCTTGATGGGCACTTTCTATTGTCTTGCTATTGTGAATAATGCTTCAAATGAACATAGATATTCTTATTTGCCCTAGAAGTTGGATTGCTGGATCATATTTCTCTTTCTAGCTTTTGGAAAAAGTGCCATACTGTTTTCCAGATGGCTGTACCATTTTACAATCCCACCAGCAATGTATTAGAATTCTAATCCCCGCACAACATCATCATCATTTCTTGTTTTCTGTCTGCTTTTATATTTTGAAGAGTTGACAGAAATGGAGTGTCTTTGATGCAGTCACTCCAGCCAAGGTACTGACTGAATTCTTTGACAGCTGTGTTATTTGTGTCTGAATTGCCTGGGTTTTCCCATATTGACCTGATGTTTATACAAGCTTGTTTCTTTATAAATAATCTTAACTCTCCTTTTCTTTTTTTCCTGTATCACACTTTATCTACTTTATAATATGTTCAGATAAAATATGAAACTCTTCCCAATAGCGTGTGTATAAATGTCTGTTAGAAACCTGTGTGAGATTAGACAGAAGAACAAAAATGAAGAATGTAGGTTTTAACAATGTGCTCTTGTCTGACAATTTGGGACAAAATAAATGTTTGGCTCTAGTTTTTGAGAGCTATAATCTGAGACGTGACTTTAGAGGTGATTCACTGAAGTTCCTTTATTCAATTCTAGTCAGACAATCGCTGTTTTGGCATATCTCTGTCACTTGAGCAAGTCCTGTAACCCGCTTTGGGTCTCAGGGGCCTCCTTGGGAGACTGATTATGCAATCCTGACCTTAGCAATGGGAAATCTAACAAACCAAAGCCACATCTAGTATCAACTCCATAAAATCAACACGTTCCATGAGATATCTAAATGATAAGGTATTCCTGTGGTTAATAAGTCCCAGCTGCAGAAATAGAAGTTGGTGACAGATGGAAACAGGATACAAATGGGGAGCATGTTGGACTTGAGACTCTGCAGATTGGGGCTATGTCCTTGACTGTGGGGCTTGCCTCTGCAGGTAACTGGGACCTATTCTCACCTTAAGTTCTTGCTTAAATGATATAGCCACTTCTGATTCACACTTAGTTTCTAAACAGAACAAATGGGAAAATGTGCATGGCACAGCAGGAGGTTCATAAAACAATATTAATTCATACTTTGATCTGTCCTTAATATGTTACCATACTTAAATATTTCTATGGCTAGATCTATAACATATCAGTGCTGTACATTATTGATTTACAGAGTCTGATTCATTGAAGAGAAGAGTAGATCTAAGCATGCTCTATTGCTAAGAATACTTGAAGTGGACCAACTGGTTCAAGGATGAAGTGAAGATGACCATATCCTAAGTCAGGATTCCTGGGTCCTCTGTTCAATGTGAATCTTCCTTTGATTGTTTATACTTGGTGGCTGTGAACTTGGAAGCAAAGGTTAGGGAGAAAACACACATACAATGATGAATGATTGTTTGCAAGTACATGTGTCTATTGATCTGAGAAAGTAAAAGTTTATTGCTCCCACTTTTTTGAAAAATAGACTCAAATCTACAGAAAAATTTAAGATGAGTGTTATGAGCACCTACATAACCTGGAGCTCTGGTAGCATAGTGGTTACGAATCAGGCTGTGAATCTTAAGGTCAGCAGTTCGAAACCACCAGCTGTTCCGCGGGAGAAAGATGAGGCTTTCTGCTCCCATAAAGATTTACAGCCTTTGAAGGCCTGTACAGGGTCACTGTGAGTTGGAACCAACTCCACGGCACATAACCACCACCACCACATAACCTTAACTAGATCCACCAGGAGCAAAAAGTCTCATCTGTTTTCGGTAGAGTGGCTAGTGGTTTCTAGCTGGGAACCTTGTAGTTAGCAGCCCAATGCGAAGTAACCCACCAGGACTCCAACATTATTCACCTTCTAAGAGTAAGGGGGACCTGGTGTGACATTGTGGATTAATGCACTGCAAAGACGGTTTGAACCGCGTGTTAGCAATTCAAGCTCACCAGTCACTCCTTAGAAACCCTATACAGGGTCACTATGGGTCGGAACTGACTCAGTGGCACTTAACAACAACAAAAGTAGGGGAATTTGCCTATTCAATCACAATGCCATGATCACATCTTCAAACAACAGCAAACAAAACATCAATAATATTATCTAGATGCTGTTTAAATTTCCCCAGTTGTTCCCCAAAAAATCTTTACCACTTTTATCAAATCAAGGCTCCCACATTGCATTTAGCTGCTAGATGTCTTTACATTTTTAATCCTGACCTGTGGCAATCCCATACACAAGGGAATGTAATACTGCCCAGTCTTGTGCCAACCATGTGGCAGTTGTGGATCCCACCGTAACTATGGTGGATAGGTTTTCATCCGCTGAGCTTTGGAAGGAGAACACCAGGACTCTTTGCGTACATTTCTCCATAAACCGCATTGCACAGTTCAATTTGCAATTTCAAGTTGACCGAAATTCAATCTCTCAGGCAGAATGAGCGATCAGTAATCAAAAATCCTATCATCATAACGCTGGCCGATGACGCAGTGCTCTTTATTTTTCGCTTGGAGCCCAGCATACCATCTACTGTGAGACAGAAAGCCAGTTTCGTCTTCAGTCTTAAAGCAGCAAGCCTATCAATGTACGAAAAGGATGGACTGAAAGCCTGTTTTTCTTCATCCTACTGAAGAGCAGCAGAATTTGGTGACCAAGAATCAACTACCAGGCTTGATTTTGTCTTACTTGGTCATAGTCTGCAGGAGATTGACGTTAAGAGGGAGGGAGCAAGACGAGTGGAGGAGGAGCCAGCCGAAGGCGGGAATCTGTGTCCTTTAAAAATAATCTCCGCCTTCTCTTAGAGAGTGGACCTGGAGTAAATTACTGAGTTTCTCTTAGGTCTCCTTTCTCATTTCCTAGTATGAATTTTTATAGTATCGTCCTCAAGTGAGTGTCTTAACCTAGATCCTGACCTTAATAAGTAATAGTTAAATTATTTTTGTGGTTATTATCATTATGATTATTGTTTTTGCGTTTGTAATCACCACCTCCATCACCAACTTCATCACCATCATCATCAGAATCCCCAACTCCTAGCCTGGAAGCTTCAGGCCCGGGTGACTCATTTTCAGGACAGCCCTCTAGACAATATTTTCCAGGGTGACTACTTCCTATAATGAAGGAAATCCCCTCGGCAAATTATCTCATTACTTTTTTTCTTGATCAAACTCAATCTTCCTCTTCCAGATTCAAACAGAGTAGGAGGGACTGGCTTCCCAGGATTCAGCCCAGCTTCGCCCGCAGCAGGTCACCCTTCCCACGCGCGTTCAGGCGCCTTCCCAGTGCGTCGCCGCTCCCTGGCGGACCCGGCGGGCAGGGCCCTGGCTCCAGGCTGAAGGGCTCCCACATCTGCTGCGCTGCGCCCCGCGGTCCCCGCCCTAGGCTGTCTCCCGCCCGCGCGCCTGCCCGTCCGCCCGCCAGCGGGCGCGCCCTCTCTTCTCTCCCTCTCTTTCACCGCCTAGCCACATCTTCCACTGCCGTCCGCCCGGAAAGACGATGTCGAGGCTTAGCTGGGGTTACAGCGACCACAACGGTGAGCGCCTGCTGTTGACTAGGGCTGGAGTCGTGGAAGAGGGGTGGTGAGCTCTGCGGGGACCGGTCTAGGCTGAGCTTTGCGCAGAGGGTGCCCCAGGGCACTGGCCCGACGCCCCGGAGCCAACCGACCACACATTGCTGATCTGGCACTTGCTAGTAACTTTCTGTTCCTCTTTAAATTGGGCCGTACTCCTCAGAGCTAAACGCAGGAAGCTGAGGGCAAGGTTAGTTTAGCTTAGACAGAACAACATTTTGGGGCGAGGGGGAAGGTAGTAGATGGAGGTGGTGAGTGTAGGTGTGTGGTTGTACTACCAAGGTTACCCTCAATCTTCATATGTATATATTCCCTCACCTTCATTTGATAAGCCCAGGACTTTCCCTAGTAGTACATACTTATCAGTTAAAGGCATGGAGATTAGAAACCTAAACAACAAACTTTGATAAATTGAGAATAAGTTCGTTCATTATCACTTAGAAACAAATCATACAAAATCTTTGCAAATGTGATTATGAAATCTTAGTAACTTGCATTGCAACACTGAAGATTAAGTTATTTATTGGCAAACAACATGCTGTACATTTTTAAATAGCTGTTACTACAGGATATTCCCACAGCAATTTGCAGTTAGTTGACAACTCTTGTGAACTTTAGTACGATTTTAGGTTATCTTTGGGAACGGAAGTTATTTTTTGGGGGGGGGCTACTTCTCCACTTTTCCTCTCATGTATCCTCATCCCTGAAAATTGAAGGTTGTTGAAATAAGTAAGGCATTGGTAAAAATGTATTTACTGATAGGAGCAACAATAAAAAAATTAAAATGTATCCTTTCATCTCATGTACCCTACCTAAATGATCAAAAGTAGTCATGTTCTTCTGTTCTTGAGTTAAATGAAACTGATCATTTCAAATAATGATTTTTTTGAAATAATTGCTAAATGGTCCAAGACAATCTTATATTTATGATTGTGAGAATGCAAATTGTGTATGCTACTATTGTTGTTAAGTGTTGTCAAGTTGGTTTATAGCGACCCTGTATAGAGGCTTGAATTAGCTTGGTGGTTGGCAGTCCAGTTTTTATCCTATGGAGGCATTGTGCTTCCTATACTACTACTACCGTTGTTAAGTGCCGTCAAATTATTTCCACTTTTTAGCCACTTCCTATAGGGTTTCTAAGGAGCAACTGGTAGGTTTGAACTGCCAACCTTGTGGTTTGCAGTCCAGTGCTAATCCTACAGTGCCACACCAGGAGTTCATACTATTCTTGTTGTTGTTAAGTGCCACTGAGTTGGCTTCGACCCATAGCGACCCTGTATAAGGTTTTTAAGAAGCAGCTGGTGAGATTGAACCACTGACCTTGCAGTTTAAACCAATTTTGCTGTCTAGTACATTAACTCACAACGCCACACCAGGACTCCCAGAGAAAGTATTTTAATAGTAGTAGTTCATACTACTTTCTCTGGATTAACATGCATGCTACTAGACAGTACTGTATAATCAAATTTTATAAAAAGCGTGTTTTCACAAAGGAACATAACATTTCCATTTCCAATTGTTGCCTGATTGAGGTTTATGATTTGCATGCTAGTTTAAAAATGGCAGCAGGTGAAATTTAGCACTTTAATAATGAGAGGTATAATTTAGGCAGATATTTTTTTTGTGACTGAGACCATCATTGAAGTTTTTACATTTTGCTAATTGCCAATTTATGTTTGGGAAACAAAAAAACAACACCCCACTAAACAAGTTTCTTTTAATTTCCCTCGTGGCTGGAGTCATTTTTATTATTGTTATTGAATAGTTAGTGGTTACCAACTGTATGGAGTTCTACTGATGCTGGGGATAGTGTTGATATCTTGTGCTGCTAACTGCAAAGTCAGCAGTTCAAACACACCAGCCCTCCTTGGGAGAAAGAAAGATGAGCTGTCTGCTCCGGAAAGTGGGAAGAGACTCATCAGCAGTGGGTAGGGTTTTGGTTTGGTTGCTAACTGTGCCATCACTGTTAAGAAAAAGAAGCGTATTTTCAACTAATGACTATTGATTATTCTTTTAATAGGTTAGAACATATTGGCCCCATTGGCGCTCATATTCAGAAAAGTTTTAGATCCATCTTAGAAAAGCCATTAACAAAGAAAGAATGACTTTGTATATCAACTCATACTAGGTATTGTAAGTCAAGCTACTTCTTTTACATACAATTGCTTTCTGAGGAACATGCCTTTAACTATATTCACTTTAGCAAAATCCTTATTGGAAATGTGTTGTACCTGCATAGGCAAGTTTTGTTGCTTATGTCTGTCCAGATATTGGCAGAGACCAGGTAATGGGCAGATAAAAGGAAACTTAAATCTGGATCGACAGCAACCTCACCTGTGAGTGGATTTAAAACTGAATATTTGGAATATTAAGAAGAAAAGGGCAGGGTGAGCTCTTTAAGAGGCTGTGAAATGAACCTGCCATAGTAGTTAATAGATAATATTGGGTATTTGAGACAAAATATTATTAATTTTCCTTTATTCTGACTTGCCTCTGCTTTGAAGAACAGTTCTGGCTACATAGAACTAGAAGTAGGAGCGTTAAGGAATTGGGAGGAGAAAGGAAATAAGGTAGCAACATGTTATGACCATGCATTGCATACTTGAAATCTAATTCTCATTAGATTAACTCATCCTTGGTAGCAATTAAATAGATTGTTTTTTCCACATAGAGACTAGATTGTTATACAGAAAGAATACTCAAAAAAAATAAATGAGTGCTAACAAGGAAGCTTAATGCTGTCTCTGGAAATAAATTGTAAGCAAGGACTTTTGAGGCTCAAGTTGCTTTAATGTCCAAGTGACAGATTCCCATGAGACATTCAAGAGGATGTATGTGTATTTATATACTTATTTTATGCCATTTCGTACCTGAGACATAGGTGAAAGAAAAAAAATGTTTACTTTTGCTTAGTAAAACTGAAGATTAATAAACAGTTTCGGATTAAGAAATGGAAAGCTGTTGATAATTGTGATATTTTTGCATTTCTTAAAATCCTTAAGTTTTATTTTTCTTTAAATGTTTGTCCACATTAGTAATAAATAGTTACTTGTCATGCTTTGTCGTTTTCCTAATAGGACTTTTGGAAAAGTCCTGGTGGAATGATTATTAAGCACTCCACTGCTAGACAAAGGTTTTCATTTAGGGCCTATTTAGTGGTTTTGTGGCAGAAAGACCTGGCAATCTGCTTCTAAAAAGATTAAACCAAAAAAACCTCCGTTGCTAATGAGTTGATTTTGACTCATGGTGACACTGTATCAGTCACTTCTTGGAAAGGTACAGGGTTGCTATGAGTCAGAACTGACACTTAACAACAACAGGATTTGTTGTTAAGGATTTCCAAAGCTGTAAATCTTTACAGAAATCAGATTGTCATATTTTTTTGCTGGGAGCAGCTGGTGGGATCTAAGTGTTCTTCTACATGGACTTGCTCTGAGTCAGAATGAACTCAACACCACCTAACAACAACACTTGGTCTTTAGAGAAAAAGTGGTTTGAATACGAGTGGAAAGCTTAGGGAGTGGACCTGTGGACTACTTGCTTGGTAACTGTGTAAGCTTCAGACAGAACAAAAGAGTGTGGTACTGTAGGGTCAGCACTGGACTGCTATCCACAAGGTCAGTTTTTTTGGTTTCAAACCTGCCAACTGCTCCTTAGAAACCCTATACAGGGTTGTTATTGTGAGTCAGGACCAACTAGACAGCACTTAACAAATATGGATTGATACAGTAGCAGCAATAATGGATTCAAACATAGGAATGATTGTGGGGTTTGCACAGAACCAGGCAGTGTTTCATTCTGTTGTATGTAGGGTCTAGAAAGGACTAGAAGGCACCTGACAACAACACTTACATCTGTAGAATGACTTGGAGCTCACATGAAGCTGCGACCTTGCCAATGACTTCATTGAAACACAGAATTTAAGAGTCTCCCAGAGAAAGGAGGAACATAGACTAGGGAAGTTTCTAGTTTTTTGGCTCATCAATTTAGCACGCATGTTTCTGATTTGTGAAATTGATGTAATTTTGGCTTTTTGAATGGAGGATAACACTTGTCCCTTGTGTTGGAATTCAAATGTAGCATTGGCAACATAGCCACAAAAGGACTTTCTGCAATGTACAGACAGAGAAATTAATGACAACCTGACTCCACTGCAGATAATCAAGAAGAAAATGTTTCTTGACATGTTGGAGTCATTATATTTGGATTGTCCTGTGAGAAAGAGTATGTAGTTTCCTGGAATGCCTGTAGTATATCACCTGTAATTTAGTGGTGGCCGCTGTAGATACCAGTGAGCGCTGGAAGAAAGAAATAGGGACAGCATCTTTAAGAACTACTCCCCTGCTTTCCTACACAGCTTCCTTAAGTCCTTTGATTGGCCCAGCATGTAAACTTAATGACCTCCAGAGTCACCATCATTCGCTCTTGAAGCTGAGACTGAATCTCTTTGTTTTCTCTGATGAATTGTGCTATTATTAGCTTAGAAGAGTACCCCTTGAAAAGTACTTTATAAAACTTACATACTCTTTTGTTTAATTCTGAGAATGATTTAAGACAAACGAAGTGGTTTTCATAATTTTAATAAGAACAGTTAATCATATATATATATATATATATATATATATATATATATATATATGATAGATGCTTAACTCCTGAGGTTAAGGATTTTACTAATCTTTACTTTATCTTCAGTCTCTATTACAGTACTCCACAAATATTTGTTGATATCTTTTAGGTCCTATTCATTGGAATGAATTATTCCCTATTGCTGATGGGGACCAGCAATCTCCCATTGAGATTAAAACCAAAGAAGTAAAATATGACTCCTCCCTCCGATCTCTTATTATCAAGTACGATCCAAGCTCAGCTAAAATCATCAGCAACAGTGGCCATTCTTTCAGTGTTGACTTTGACGATACAGAGGACAAATCAGGTTGGTTTTTCTGTGTGTCTTTTTGGGGGGTGGGGTGTGCGGTGAGGCATAGGGAGATGGAAACTGGACTACACATTCTTATCTTTCATATTTTACTTTAACTAGACTTTAATTTGTGTAATTGAAGCATTTTTCCTTTTTGTAATTAAGATATCATATTATGTTTATAGCCCTTGAGGTAATTTTATCTTGAAGTGATAAAGATGAGTATTTAGAAGGGGATCTGCTGAGTGATCTTTTGAAATGGTCTTATGTTCTTATTATAACTTTAGTTAGAACTTATCATTATGTAATTATTAAAGTTGAACAGTATTTTATAAACAGTACTTGATTTGTTTGTAGTAACTTATTCATAATTAGTTTAGTATTTATTTGCAAATACTGTAATGCTGGTTGTTGTTGTTAAGTGCTAGATTGTATCAGCTATGCTATCAAAACTTAAACATTATTCATCCTAACATTTAAGATGGGGTGGGGTAGAAGTTGAAAAAAATGGAAACATCTATATTTTGTTTCTTAATAACACTTTAACTGTACTAGAACTTGTAATAAAAGTTTTATTTGATTTGTTCATGGGGTAGTGCCTTTTACAATGTGAATAAATAATGGAACAATCAAGTAAAACTTCATTTGTTAATTAATTAATTAAATGAAGAAATGTAGAAAACAGTATTTTCTTAACATGAACATGAAATCCTTCTTAAAGAATACCTATTGCCCAACATAGGATAATCACCCAACCTCAAGGTTCTTCTGAACCACAGGTTGGCAGTCCAAACTTACCATCCTCTCCTCAGAAACTCTATACAGGGGTCATGAAGAGTCAGAACCGACTGGACAGCACTTAACAACTACAACAACATTGCCCAAGAAATAGAACCTATCTATTTAATCTATTTAACATTAAGAGCGGCAATTAGAAAGGATCATATTCTGGTATACTTTTTGAGGCTTCTGACAAAGTATTTTTATTTTCAGTCTAGTATTGTTGTTGTTGTTGTTAGGTGTTATTGAGTTGGTACTGACTCATAATGATCTTATGCACAGCAGAATGAAACGCTGCCCGATCCTGGGCTATCCTCACTATTGTTGCCATGTTTGAGTCCATCGATGCTGCTACCTGGCCAATCCATCTCGTTGGGGGTCTTCCTCTTTTTCTCTGACCATCCACCCTACCAAACATGATATCCCTCTCCAGCGACTGGTATTAAGATAATGCTCTATTTGTCTGTTAATGAAAAATATGAAATTAAACAATCCTTAATTAGGAGAGTATTTATGCTTATTCATTAAGCTCAGATTTAGTTTATTAATGAAACATTTATTTATGTAAAACTTGATAGTTTGCCAAAATTATAAGCCCATACAAATGTCTTCCTTCTGATTATCACATTCAATAAAGTGATCTATTTTCACCACAGTATTATAAGTATGCATTAAGTAGATTAACACACGGTGTTTTCTTTTTCTTTTTTTCTACTCTGGTATTGTATATATAAGGAGCTCTGGTAGTGTAGTGGTTAAGAATCGGGCTGCGAACCTCAAGGTCAGCAGTTCATAACTATCAGCTGTTCCGCAGGAGAAAGATGAGGCTTTCTGCTCCTGTAAAGATTCACAGCCTTGGAAACCCTGTACAGGGTCGCTATGAGTCAGAACCGACTCCATGGCACATAACAACAAACAGCAATTGTATATATAGTCAATTGTGTTTCCTTGGAGCACTCAGTTTTCTGAATCTATATTAATAGATATGGTTGATGTAATTGGTTCATTGTAAAAGTAATTTTAGGTTTCTGAATACAAACTAATTTGATATTGTCTACAAAACATAAACATATAATAGCTGAGGCTATTCACTTTTAGTTTTAAGATAGAGATTATTTTTCACTTAACAAATCCAAGAAGCTGAATTATATGAGGAAAAGCGTACTTGAGAATTGAAGGAAGACTTAACAGGCTGTGATATGTAGATGGTACAACCTTGCCTGCTAAAAGCAAAGAAGACTTAAAATACTGATGAAGATCAAAGATCACAGCCTTCAGTATGGGTTGCATCATAATGTAAAGAAAACAAAAATCCTGACCACTGGGTTAATTAACAACATGCAGATAAATGGAGAAAGCATTGAAGTTGTCAAAGACTTCATTTTGCTTGGACCTACAAACAACACTCATGGAAGCAGCAGTCAAGAAATCAAACGACATATTGCATTAGGCACATCTGCTGCACAAGACCTTTTTGAAGTGTTGAAGAGCAAAGATGTCAGTTTGATGACTATGGTGCACCTGACCCAAGCCATGGTATTTAAAAAACTTCGTATGTATGTGAAAGTTAGAAAGTGAATAAGGAGACCATAGAAGAATTGATGCATTTGAGTTTTGGTGTTGGAGAAGACTATTAAAAGGACCATGGACTGCCAAAAGGACAAACCAATCTATGTTGGAAGAAGTGGAGCCAGAATGCTCCTTGGAAACCAGGGTAGCCAGACTTAATCGCTTATACTTAGGACATATCAGGACTGACCAGTTCCTGGAAAAGAATACCATGTTTGGCAAAGTGGAGGGTCAGAGAAAAAGAGGAAGACCCTCAACGAGATGCTTTACCGCAGTGATAGCAGCAATGGGCTCAGGCTTAGCAATGACTGTGAGGTTGGCATGGGACTGGGCAGTGTTTTGTTCTGTTGTGAATAGGGTCGCTATGAGTTGGTGCTGACTCAGTGGCACCTAACAACAACAACAACAACAACAAGACTTTAAGTCTTTTTCTTTACAAATGTAGTGGCAAAATTCTATATTCTAATTTGCTTTATGATGATTCAAGTTTTAATTTTCTCTGTTTCTTTCTCTCTGTCTCTCTTTCTTTCTTTCTATCTCCTTTTCTCATTTTTCCTCTAAGGCAAAAAATCCATCATCTCTGAGGTTATTTCCGCTCATAGTGACCCTAGAGAACAAAGTGAAACTGCCCCATATGGGGTCCAAGTATATGGCTCTATCTTTCTTTTATGCAGTGGCTGGTGGGTTCAAACTGCTGACATTTTGGTTCATCTGAACATTTAACCACTGTGCCACCAGGGCCCATCTACTTTCTCTGATGTTGTTGTTGTTGTGAAGTGCTGTTGAGTCGGTTCTGACCCATAGCCACCCTGTATAGGGTTTCCAAGAAGCAGCTGGTGAGCTTGAACCACTGAGTTTGCAGTTCAAATGACTTTGCAGTCTGATGCATTAGCTCACAGCACCACACCAGGACTCCCTGTACCTAGGGTTAATCAGTGGAATGGGTTTGTCTATGTTTTCAGATTTGGTTCTTTGTGATCAGTAGTATGTGCCCTTTCCCAGAAAATGAAGGTCTCTTTCTTATCTAGATCACAAAGAAATGCCTAGGATTAATTGAAAATGTCCTAAATATACTTTGTAGTCTCATGAGACAGGAGCTATATAAATATGGATCATGATTCTCATCCTTTTTCCTCAAGATAAACCAAAAGAGAATGTTTTGTGGTTGCTGTTTTTGTTAAGTACCATTAAGTCTGTTATGATTCATCGTGATTCTGTATAGGGTTTCCAGGGAGCATCTGGTGGGTTTGAACTGTTGAGCTTGCGGTTGATAGTCCTACAGCACCACACCAGGACTCCATAACTACAATAGTTAACAAAATAAGTAGAAACTTCTTTTTCTTTGGTTGTTGTTGTTGTGTGCTGTCTAGTCAGGTCTGACTCATAGTGACCCTGTACAGGATTTCCAAGAGTGGCTGGTGGATTTGAACTGTCAACCTTGCAGTTACTAGATCAGTGTTTATCCTACAGTGCCACACCAGGGCTCTTTTCTTTGATAAACTATAAAAAATACAAAGATTCTTTCCTTAGCAAACTATTTGAAGCAAAAAGGCTACCAATTTATAAAGAAGCTACTTGTTTGTAACTGCTGTTGAGTCAGTTCGACTCATAGTGACCCTGTGTAGGGTTTCCAAGGAACGGCAGGTGAATTTGAACCACTGACCTTGTGGTTCAAACTGACCTTACAGTTCAGTGCTTTATCCCACAGCACCACACCAGGACTTCAAAGACGGTACTAGAGAGCAAAATTAACTCAGTCTTGTAAATCAACCAGACCACTTAGAATTTTTCCTCCTTTGCATGACTTGTTTAGCTGGGCAACTAGTTCCACACCCCAAAACTAACCTGAATGGAACTGCTAACCACAAGGTCACAGTTCATACCCAACAGCTGCTCCTAAAAAACCTATATAGGGTTGCTGTGAGTCAGATAGGAATCCAAGGCACTAACAACAACAACGTGAGAAGAGCTGTTCTTCAGAAATGAGTAGTTCTTTATAAAGGGGACAGTTGCGTATGAAATTCTTTAGGGATAAGTCATTTGATGAGGAAAGACAAGGCCGCAATCACCCAAACTTCTAGTCTTTCTGGACCAACACATGTTCTTATGTCTCTGGGAACCTCACTTGACTGGCCCAGTCACCTCCCACTGTGACTCCCATGCCAACCTAGGCTTGTCCTATCTATCACTGCACTTCCCAAACTGTGTGTAACTGCCACTGACTTTGCGTCTTTCCACTGATGTAAAGCGTCCATGTGGAGAACAGTATGCTGCGTTCATCTAACTGGCACATATGTTGTTGTTGTTAAGTGCCGTCAAGTCGATTCTGACCCATAGTGACCAGGTATAGGGTTTCCAAGGAGCAGCTGGTAAGCTTGAACTGCTGACTGTGCAGTTCAAATGGCTTTGCAGTCTGGCGCACTAACCCACAGCGCCACACCAGGATTCTACCTGGCACATATACTACCTAGCATTTAATGGGTACTCAATAAATATGTGTTTTAGATTAAAAAAAAAATTATAGGATATTTCTTGAGGACAGGTAAAATAACAAAATTACATTTGCGGTACACAGTGCACTATTGTTGCTGTTGTTATTATTAACTGCTGTTGAGTCAGTTCTGACCCATAATGATTCTGTATAGGGTTTCGGAGGAGCACTTGGT